GCTTAGAAATCATATGAAATCAGTTCGAAAATACTCTATCAATAAAGATCAAATCAATGAAAAAACAATAGACGAGGCCAACTGTCAACCTCCAGCTCATTCATATTCGTCGCAGTTGACCAACATTTGTCATCTCGTATCTTCGTTACACGAGGGAATCGAATCGAGATGCCACGTGCCGTATGTTTGTCGGAACGTGAAAACTCAGCACCTTCAAAAACTAACACACTAAAACACTTCTCATCGCACAATACTAAACTGCTCTCCACAGTGCGTTACACTGTTTACAAACAATCTCAAAAGATACAATTTTTCCAAATTTCTTCGGCACGAACGAATCTATTCAATGGCCGAAGATGTGCTGCGATTAAATCACAGTTTCTGATTGTAATTCAACAACACATTGAGTGTTCGTTATGAAAATCAGTTCAGTTTTAGTCATAATCAAAAACCAGAATTTGTCTTTCAACAACTAATTTCGGGAGTGCAAACCAAATCGCATAAATAAACCTGTAATTTCCCAGACAGGTGCTTCCTTAGGATCATCAATGATGAAGTCTGGCACTAATGCGCGTGAGCACTCTATCCATGCTGGCAGATTGTCATAATCACGTCTGATTTCTCGCATCTGCAAAGCATTTCACCTGTGTGTAATTCTTTTATTTCATCACTGTCATAACACATCACAGATATTAATTCCCAGCTGCATTCAAAACAATGTACCCATCAAGCCACATTCTCTTATTTCATTTCGCAAACTGCATCAATCAATCGCATTGCATGTATGATCTTTAACTTGCATGCAACGTTCCAACTCGACCAAACACAAAACAAGCAAACGATTAAGTGCACAATATCGCAACCTTTGCTCGTAGTTGTTTATTGATTTGCTCGATCGCTTCATCGGTATGACCATTACCGCATTTGGTTACCGTTAAAAACTTATCCGACGCTTCATCATAAACACCCATCAGAAACACCGACATCAAGCCACCTGTTAACAATACAGTAATCATTCAGCTCAACNTCTTTTTTCATCTGAAGTCGTGAAAATGATTGTTTTTGGTATTGTGGGAACAGTTACAGAATGTCAGCAAAGGAGAGGAATGAACGGCTACCAAATTTTAGAAAGGGTATATACCATTCAACAATTAAAAAGAAGTCATGAAATACATGATTTTATGTAGATAAATCAATCAATCTGAATATTTTATGTGGTAAGTGACATAAATTAAATTATAAACCAATTTTGTTTTACAAAGACGAATGGACACAATGAGATAATTTTCCGATGACTTGGCATCTTATATGAATTTTCGAGATAAAACTTTCAGAATGTCGCATGAAAACTACTCTACGAGGGCGAAAGGTCCATGAAATTGAAATCTTTTGTTAAGAACATCAATATGTTAACGATAAAACTGAATAACCTTCAACCAATGTCGTTTGCCTGGTTCATATACTGATTCAACATCTTTCAGAACAAGACCCTCTAGACCCTCGTCGATTGCCTTCCAAATCATTGTCTTCAACTTGGCATGATCCTTCAATGATCACCACAAATCACTCAACCTATTGCACATTCATCGTCGATTGTAATCCAATTCACTCACAATTATGATCATTAGGATGAACAATTCAACATAAGATTCCAAAAATGTTTCATAAAGTGAAGGGCATCGTAATAAAGTTCACGGTTTCTATTTCAGAGTCAATTTTTAGAATTGTTTTCCAAAAAAGAAANAAGCTTGCCACACATTCAACCACACTCTACCGACCACAAAAATAATCTATCCCACATTCGAATGACTCACAAAAGCTGAATGGTATTATGGAATGGCACAAGGAATCACACAACGACAGAAACGATCGCCTTACTCTGCTAGTACTTCCCATAAATTGAGATTAACTTATTTTTATCAAAATCGTCACTCCCTTCATTTTCCTCTACAATGCTAAGCAATTCACATGTGTTGATAGAATCTATTACAGAAAAGTGCTTCACAGTTTACTTTTATGGAGTGGGGGAATGAACACACCGACCAACCTGTCCACCAACGATCTGCCGTTGAATAGAAGACAATCGAAGATGAAAATACACACGACCGCATCGGCGAACGTGTTCTTCTTGTGTATTCCGAGAGTGCCGAACGGTAGCGGTTTGCCAGTTGTCAAGTTCACCATCAACACCTCTGCATCCAATATCATATCACCACCTTTCGGAAATGCTTTCGGGATGTAATCGCATAAATGTGATACCTGAAACTTCTTTCTTATTCAATCAACCATTATGACTTTCCTCCAAAGCATTTCCACGCCATACGTTTTGCATTCTGAAATGAAACTGAAAAAGAAGTGAACGTGCATTCAGCACAACCGACCTTATGATCGCTTACGGATTTCAACGATCGTGAGAAGTACGAAAATGAATCGCCACTTTTGTGCAACTGTAAACGTTCTCCGTCGTATTTGATCTCACTGTACATACCGTTAACACACCGCTTCATCGCATGCTCAACGTTTCGACACACTTCCGCCTTTAATATTACTGCGTAAACAACTGAACTTCATTTCAGAATTTCAACAATAACATCTTCAGATAGCAATTCACATCTCTCTCTATGCAATCTCTATTCATCGAGTGCACTTGCTTACTATTAGACGGCAACAACAACCAAGAAGAACAAATGACCCGATCAAGATCAAACTTTTAGCGAGCATCTATAAGAAGATGAAGACGAACTCTGCAATTATATCAGTTTACCAAATAAAAATGAACGTGAAATGCTCTGCGGCGAATGCGTAACGCATCTAGACAGTACGGCAAACCAAACGAATACAATCAAGCAAGCAATCAATCAACCGATTGTTACTATAATCACAACACAACAAAACCCACCAACATCGGTTTCACGGGCGTTCCCAAATNAATTCCGCTCGCAATAACCATCGGTAAACTCTCGCTATCGGCCAATCGGCATTTCTCTACGACCGCCTTTAAATCACGACAACTTTGAAATGCATCATACGCACCTTCCTTCAAACCAGCCAAACTGAAAACAATTACAACTCCATTGGGTCATTCGATAAATTTGGAAGATGCAAACGGCAATTCGCTACAACAATTTTATAATATCACTTCAGAACAGATACAAATACAAGAGTGGTGCATAATCACTCACATATGCTTCGCTCCAGCGTTGATGCGTAAATCCTTCATTATGAGACGAATAACGTATTGCAGCTCAACGGGTGTTACACTGAGAATTGCATTAATAAGCCCAACGAATAGTAAAAACAGCAAAAAAATGGGAAAACGATGACTTATCCGAACCAACAATACATTGGTTTCACCTCTTTTCTCCTGCATTACCACCAAAACAATATCTAACCTTCCACAGCAAATAAACTCACCGATTTGCTAAATATTTCAAATGTTTTTGTTGTTCATCCTCCTTCGTATAATCGGTCAATTTGCTGAGCCACTTATCAATCTTAAAGTAATCGTTTAAATTCATCTGACAGCATCCGGAAATTGATATGTATGCACTGATACGAAACGTACAAAAAACAAACCTACGCGTTCAAAAATCTGTGATCATAATCGAATTGTTCTCCAGCATA